TTAGCGGTTTGAACCTTAACCATTATCCACTAATCCCAAACCGCTAAATAAAAAATTTTATCAAACATCTAGTTTATAGTAGTTTGAAATAAATAAGTTTACTAAATACTTATTCTTAGCGGTTTAAATAAAACAACTAATCACAACCTCCAAACCACTATACTAAACAACCCCTTAATATAATTTTGTATTCTAAAATAAATTTTTGGCAAAGTTTTCTATTCATTTACAAACACATTATTTTCTAATTTTAATTTCTACCAAAGAATAGAGAAAACCTTATCTAAAACCACAGTGACTCTAATTTGTAAAAGGAGAAAGACTGGGGTACATTTGGTTTGCCTTAAAATGATTTCTAAAAATTATTTTCTGCGTTTTTTAGTGTTTGATAATTATTTAAAAACTATGTCGATAAAAAATAATTTCAATCGATAAAAAATGTTCTTTGTATTTTTAAAAAAATTAACTTTCAAATAAATTTTTCGAAAGTTATTGATAGATGACTATTATGTTATGTATTAGCGTATAAGGGCAATTATGTATTTTAACCCCAAACACTCATTGTATATATATCTCACTGTTAATAACATTACATGTGGCCAATATTATTCTTCATGGTATCAGAGCCTTGAATTAGGGCACCAAATATTATCTAAGGTTTTCTCACTTCTACAATCTCTTTCTTCTGTGTTTCCTTTTCCATGGCTTCCTCTCCATCTACTACCTCCTCTGAGTGCTCACCTCAAACCTCACCTATTGCTCATACTATAGCCTCTGCGTCCTCTATTCTTTCTCATCTTGTTTTCTCCATCTCCAACATCAAACACTTTGTCCCTAAATCCTTGACTCGTGAGAACAACTTACTTTGGAAAGAGGTGATGATTCTGTTCTTCGCAGCAAAGGTGTTTATGGTCATATAGAAGGATCTAAACCATGTCCTCCCTCAACAGATCCAACTTATGAAGAGTGGTGACAGATTGATGATTAGGTTTTTTCATGGATTCAGGCAACCATCTCATGTGAAGTTCTAAAATTGATAATTACACTAAGGCAATCTTTAACTACAAAACCTGCTTGGGATGCTATTGAAGTCTCCTATCATGGCCAACTTAAAGCCTATGATTTAATGCTCAAGTAGGAATTTTGTGGCCTCTGAAAGCAACCTGAGCAGTCAATGATGGATTATTTGGAACAAGCATAACTTGCAGCATTCCATGAAGGCTGAGAAAAACCAAAATTGTGGATATGATGTCGTTGAGGCCTTTTGGATTTGTCAGTTACTTTTTGAACTTAGCTTTGCCTTTTCTTCTCCTACTATTGTTTATTATGATAATGTTAGTGCTTTATACATGGGCACCAATCTTGTTTAGCATCATCGCACAAAGCACATTGAGATTGATTTGCACTTTGTTTAGGAGTGTGTTGCCTCTCAGTTGGTTACGTTGTGCCATGTTCCTTCTAGTCATCAATGGGCAGATATTCTCACTAAAGTTCTTCCCATCTTGCACTTTCAGCTACTTCTTGACAATTTATGCGTTCATTCCCCCGCCGCACAAATTGAGGGGGGATGATGGATGACTATTATGTTATGCATTAACATATAAAGGTAATTAGTATTTTAACCCCAGACAGTCATTGTAGATAGATCTCATTGTTAATAGCAATACACACAGCCAATATTATTCTTCAGTTATTTTCCCCTAAAAAAAATGCACAAACTTTTTGCTACGGGTTGGGGCCCCATTTTTTTGCAAGAATTGCTCGACTCCATCCACTCAAAGTAGAAAACTCCTTCAAACTTTTGGCTACAGGCCGGGTCCCGATTTGGTGACTGCATTGCAAATTGATTTTCACTAACATGTGAATATCAAAGAGAATGTTATTGAGTAGGGTAAATCTACCAGTTAACTACTAATGTTAATATTGTGTGAAAACTATATAAAATCATTTTGCTTAAAACAAATTGGCAATTGAGATGTTGTTTATAATAATATATCTATAAGCTTACACAAAATTCAAAAAATTCTTTGTTAATCCATTTGGGATATTTTTCGTTTGAAATTAGGCTAGAGTGTTCTCTTACAACATAAAAGCTAAAAGAAAATCATTTCTTGATCATTAATTTACTAGGACAAATTATGAATAAAAAGACAATTAATTTATTAGAATAAATTATGAATAGAAAACACTAATAGTATTTATTTTAACCCATGAAACTTCTAAACTCTTTAACCAGGAAAAAATAAACGGTCATAAAAGGTTGTACATTGGATGCTCTGTTTGATGTTCTTTTACGAACTCCAGCAGCAATGGAGGGGCAACAATGACCATGGTCGGCTCTCTAAACAGTGCTGAGTTTGGTAAAAAAAATAATAATTGTCCCAAACCGGACAAATTCTTTTAACCGTTTGACACAATGTCAGCCAGTTATATCAAGATGCAGAGAGTCGTTGTGTTTCCTGTCACTTCTGACTTCTTTTTTTTTTCTTTTTTTTCTTTTTTTTAATTTTCAACTTCTCTCTTAGTAGTAGTGGTCTGACTTTTGAAAAAAACTCTATTTTATTGTATGTATTAAAGATATGGTATTCTATTAAAAATTTTATTTGAGAGTTAAATATATAAAAATATAAGTTATATAGAATAATATTAAATGTGATAATTTAACACCAAAATAAGCTTTATACCATTCTCACTACAAGGGAACAAGTTTTTTGTGATAAAAAATAATGATTGATTCTCAATTCGTCAATAATATCTTTTATATTTGGATTAGTTTAGAATATTGGTTACTAATACTAATTTTTTAAATTAGAATATACTATTTTGATATAAAAATTATATTCAATCATAAAAATTTATCACAATAAATCTCTTAAATTTATGATAGTTAAAATTGTCACAAATAGGTATTTATTAGTTACTAATAAAATATTGGTCACAAATAATTAATTTTTTGTCATAGATATCAAATTTTATTTGTGACTAAATTTATCATTTGTAACAATTATATTTTGTAACAATATATATGATTCGTCCCAAAAGAAAATCACAAAAAGTAACAAATTTTGCTGCATGATTAATCCACAAAAAGTAGCAAATTTTTTCACATCGAATCCAAAGATTTTACACATTCTTAGGGACTTTTTACTTTTTTAACAACAAATTTTACGATTGAAGTAAAAATATAAATGATACTCTTACTCTTACAAATTATATTAATATTAGATTCATGTACTATACTAACTTTATAAAAGGTTACATCACTCAAGCATATATACAAGAATACAAGCATATAACATATACTTGTATCAAGGATAGCTTTCTTTCACATAAACATATATAGGAACACCATTTCTCCAAGGTATACTCGCACCAGCAATTTCATGAGTGAAATTGCATTCAATTTGATAAATGTCACTTAAATACAAGTGTATAATATATTAAATTTAATTTTTCCTTGGACACAACAACTTTATGAGGATTGTCATATGCTGTATATATATAATCATTACAAATCAAGTAGAGGTTGTTTTTTCTTAGCCTAACAATCTCAAAACAAAGATTATGCGTGTTCTTCATCAACTTAGGCATATTGACTTATAATTCCACCCCAATAGTCCAACCTCATTCCCATTTGTAAAATAATTTGCTTCAAAGTGCAAGATAAATAATGTTCATGATTGGAATTAAATTCCCATTCCAACAAAGCAATAGTACCATATATAGTTCAATGAGACCACATGGATGAAATCAAATCAAAATCAAATTGCAATGGAACTACATGTTAAATTCTATATTAATAATGGTATATATAATAGCTAGCTTGAGATTTCTTTGTAAATGACATTTGCATTTAATTTGATGAGTTTTTTTATTGTTTTTATTTGATACATTTTTATTCTTTTATAGGTACATAAATAAAATTATGGAATGAAAAAATTAAGAATCCTATATTATCCACAAATAAAAAGTAAAAACTTATTGGTACTCTATATAAAGAAATGTCTAATCTCACATCATTGAAGAACAAAAGATTTAATTTACTAATGGGAAATGTTTGGTACACCCTCTGGTTCAGCACTCGGTTCAACATCCGGTTTAATACTTTTCGGTTTGATCATTAAAAACATAATATAAATACAGTCAATTCAGTCGGTTCTTGTATCCTGTGTGCATAATTGTATTATTATACTAGTCTATTTTTAATTTCAGATTAAAAAATAATGATTTTTTAATGACTAAACTGGAGGGTGTTGAAATATAGGGTGTACTAATCACTATCTTTTACTAATACTTTATGTAAAGAAAGGCCTAAAATATATTTAATGCATCTTATAAGTCTTGAAGTTTTGGGCTTAGGCCAAATAATTTTATTTTAGGCCTTTTGAATATTTTAATTAATAGTTATTATAATTATTAAATAAAAAATAAATATATTTTAAATAAATAAGAATTGCAATAGTTAATTTTATATTAATTTGTATATATATTGTGGTAAAAAAGAGAGACGATGAGAGGTAGAACGAGAGCAAGAGCGGTAGGAAGGAGAGTAAGAAGCAAAAGGATAGCACAAATGTATGAGAGCTTCAGCTTCCGAAATAGGGGACGACTTCAATAGGATGTTGGCGACTATGATAAGAGGATTTACAACCAGGCGATCCCTTTCTTCTTCACCAATTTTCCTGAGGATTGGTGTTTTCGAACAAATGTGGCATACTTTCAACAGACTAGGCCTCGAAAGGGTTCTGGAGATTGACTGCCCAAAGAAGAGGGATAAATTGGGCAGAAGATTTGGCTTCGTCAGATTTCTGGATGTCA